TGAAACCACGGCTACGACACCGACCACAAGAAGTCATGCTTAAATGCGAACTGTGTCTCTCTCGCTTGCTCCGACAGTGTTCGTTCGTTTGTTCGTCCGTTCTTCTGCTTATTCTGTTTGTGTACGTGAGTGCGTGCGTGTTTGTGTGTGTGTGAGTGTACTGTCGCAAAATCACGAACAAACAAACAAACAAACACCTCATCCGTATATATGTACAAGAACAACAATGTTATTTATTCATTTAAAAACTGGAAATACTTATTCACTATGTAAATCTATCACAATCAATGAATGCCTTCATGAGTTGTTATCTTTCATACCTAGTTTATGACATTGTTGTCCGCTCTTGTTTATTCATTTATATGACGACCATAATTACAATAATAATAATGATATATGCTTTGATATTATTCAAATTTATTTTTTTCAACTTCTTATGGGTATAAGTGTATGTGTGTGCGTGCGTGAGCATGTGTATGAAGTGAGGCGGGTCGGGTCGGGTGGACTCCTTCTTCTCATTCTGTTCGTGTGTATTTGTCCAGTTGTTCATTTTCAAAGCAAATGCCTGGTGACTGACGAAATCTCAACACAAATCTCGAAGGCTCGATTGGCTTTTGCCAACCTGCATCACTTATGGCGTAGTCGAGATATCCGTTTGCTGACTAAAGGACGAGTGTACTGCGCAGTGGTTCGCTCCGTCTTACTTTATGACCGTCAAACATGGCCAGTGAGAGTAGAGAACTTTCGGAGGTTACTGGTTTTCGATCATCGATGTCTCCGAAGCATTGCTCGTATATCCTGGGACAACCAACGCTGTTATTAAAAAACGGGTGCTAGGTAAGAATGGCAGATCAATAGAAACTTCATCAGTTGAGGTGGTTGGGACATGTGTTGCGTATGTCTAACCACCGACTGCCTCGTCGAGCTTTGTTTTGTAGTGTAGGAATAGGTTGGTAGAAAGTTAGGGGCGGCCAAATCAAAACATGGCAGCAATCTATGAAGTCATTGACGAGTGGACTTAGTCATGTCGGTAATTGTCGACTACCTGTTTGGGGTCCGCGAGATGATAATAATCGATGGCTAGAGACTTTGAATGACATGGCTCAAAATCGTTCGCAATGGCGACAGTGCATTTATTCTTTGTGTTCTCTCAAATCCTAATCTTCTGGATTCTTCAACTTTGTAAACTTTTCTCACTGAATCACATACTTCTTGAATAATATCTTCTAATCCTAACCTCTCCGATTACTTCTAATACCTTTACTACCTCTACTACTATTGGATTTGAATTGACAATTACATCTCTGTGTTGATGTGGTATGGCAACATGAACTGATGTGTACTTACGCACGAAGTTCTACGTTGCATCGGACTGACTTTCAAAGCAAAATACATTTTTTTTTATCATTACATAATTTTTCCCCCAGATCTTTTGAAAGTACCAGAGAGGTTATATGATTTTTAAATTTTTCGCACTGAATTATACTTCTCGAATCATATCTTCGCTCCCTAATCCTCTCCATTGCTGTGCTAATAATTCTACTATCGCTATCACTATTGAATTTGAGAATTGACAGTTACGTCTCTGTTCTGATGTTGTTTTGGTATGGCAACCTGAACTGATATACATATGTACGAAGTTCTGTGTTGTATCTGTCTGTCTGTCTGGTTATATGATTCCCAGGGTTACTATTATGGGTAGAGGTTCCGATCTATGTGAGCTCACTGTATGTGGTTTTTGTAACGCTTACTTAGATAATTCCCGGCTAAATCTTATTGCTAAATATTCTCTGACACAAAACACTGGACAAGTTCTCAAAAATCAAAACACGGTTGAACAGGAAAAGATTATATTCCAAAATAGCAAGGAATAATAAGCCGGAAGTGAAGGCGAAGGCAAAAATAAATACAACGCTAGTCTATTTATAGCATTTACATGAGAAAGCTTCTAGAAGAAAATTCACGTGATCGACTGGATTAGATTTAACCAATCAGCACGCAACTATCAGTACGAGAATTCTCCATCCTGTTCTCCAAGATTCGATCAGGCGCTGATTGGATAGGAAATCAGCCAGTCAGCGCGCAGCAACGTAGTCATGCTTTAATTCCATCTATGTCCCACTAACAGTGGTCAATAGAGTTGTGAAGCTTTCATTATTGTTCTTTGTCTGAACGACATCTACATTAACAACAACAGCATCAGCAGGAGCAGTTGAGAAGTGATGTAATCGAATTTCTGCAAATACATATGGGGAATGACTTGTCACTTGTCCTCTTGAGGAAATCTTGATCGTGATTGGTTGTCAGTTTTTGACAGTATCGGTCAAAAAATTGATCAATTTATAATTCCAATGAAAGCCAATCATCTTCACATCTCTGCTATATTGAAAAAATTACGAATAAAATGGATGTCAGCCTTAGTTTTGTTTATGTGAATATCAATTCTCAGTCAAACATCATGACATTTCTTCTCTTATATCAATATGTGGACATAAATTTAATTTGCATTACGGAGTTGTGAAGATTGTTAAGTTACACATTTTTGAATCGACCAATGTTAGACTACCGTTAGAACCTGAAAGCACTGGACGGCCGTTTCGTCCTGGTATGGGACTCGTCAGTGGCAGTGCGCATCCACGACTCCTGCACCCCGCAGGATTCGAACACAGGACCTACGGTATTATGCTTCAGAAAATCTACGATCTTTCGCAACCTCATCCATTGTCTTTGTTTGGAACTGCTTCACACCCCACAGGGTTGAACTCCACAGGTGTTCCATTGTAATTCACTTGTCTTATTATGATGAAATAAAATGTTGTTATAGAGAATTCGATAACTAACAAGGTTTCTGATATAAAGATTTTTTACAAAACTGTGGATAGGTTACTGGCTAACAGAATAATTACCTCCGGATTTCATTTACCTTCTTACGAATCATACTACTTGTTATTAATAAGTAGCTCAGTGTGTTAAACAAATAATTCGTACTGGGTGGTCGATTGTAACAGTCACAAGTTAGTTTACAAATGATGTATGATGATTAAAAATTCGTAAAGCGTAGTTCATACAAGTGAATAAAATTGCCAGATAAATTAATCAACAGTCTGACCACTGATTTCGAGAATTATGTTTGACAATTCAAACAAGTTTTAGGAGTTTTCGTTAATTCTACTGAAATGTTTTTAGAAGTAATAGACTGTGCTGAAAATATGTCAATCCATTGAAGCTACGAGCTGATTATACCTTTCTTACTTTGATTGCAAAGTTATCAAGTCTATTGCCAATCTTAGTTAGTGTATTCACAGAAATTAGAATTTCATGGTTCCATACAGTTCTACAGCTATCCTTGTTTTCTGTAGAGATAAATGCACTCGGGATGCACATGTTTGTTCATGGTTCCTTCCTTCTGTTCATAGTTAAATATTTGAAAACTTCCGAAAATAAGGATTTCGGTGTTTAGTCATCTAAGAATAATCCTTAAGTATGTTACGCATGGGCGTGCTCACGTCATTTGATATGCTTGGACTATTACGAGTTCCCCTTAGTCAGTAAACGAGAACGAGGATCGATGATCCAGTGACACGACAGGCTACTCTAATTCGAGCGTTCCAACCCCCCCCCCATCGAGCAGAAGAAGACCTGATATGAAGTAGAACGTGTATTCTACAAACATCCAGAAAGTACGAGGTCCGAATCTAGAAGAGGCTAAAGATCCAGATCATAAAACGTTATAGATGATGCATATTTATACAATTAGATCGAATAGGAAACAACACTGAAGTATGTGACACTGACAGTTAGAACGACCAATAGGAATTGACCAATGGAATTAGACTTACAAAAATAATCCTCTTAGGTTATTTGGTGAATATCCTAACACAGTAGGTAATTGAAAATCTTTGTGTACTGTACGGATGCGAGACTTGGCCGTTAAGAGTAGAGGATTTCCGTAGGTTACTAGTCTTTGATCCTCGATGTCTCCGAAACAATGCTCGTGTATCATGGGACCACCGTATAAGCAATGCTGTCGTTAGGAAACGAGTTCTAGGTAGGGACGGCAAATCAATAGATGAAGTAGTGAAACTTCATCAGTTGAGGTGGTTGGGACATGTGTTACGTATGCCTAACCACCGACTGCCTCGTCGAGCTTTGTTTTGTAGTGTAGGAATAGGTTGGAAGAAAGCTAGGGGCGACCAAACCAAAACATGACAGAAATCCATGAAGTCATTGACGAGTGGACTTAGCCATGTCGGTAATTGTCGACTACCTGGTTGGGGTCCACGAGATGATAATAATCGATGGTTAGAGACCTTGAATGACATGGCTCAAAATTGTTCGCAATGACGTAGGTGAATTTATTCTTTATGTTCTCTCAAATCCTAATCTTCTGGATTCTTCAACTTTGTAAACATACTTCTTGAATAATATCTTCTAATCCTAACCTCTCCGATTACTTCTAATATTTTTACTACCTCTACTACTATTGGATTTGAATTGACAATTATATGTCTGTGCTAATAATGTGGTATGGCGACATGAACTGATGTACTTACGTACGAAGTTCTACGTTGCATCTGACTGACTTCCAAAGCAAAATACATCTTTTTATCATTACATAATTTTTCCCCCAGATCTTTTGAAAGTACCAGAGAGGTTATATGATTTTTAAATTTTTCTCATTGAATTATACTTCTCGAATCATATCTTCGAACCCTAATCTTCTCCATTACTGCTAATAATTCTACTATCGCTATCACTATTGCATTTGAGCTGACAGTTGCGTCTCTGTGTTGATGCGGTATGGCAACCTGAACTGATGTACTTATGTACGAAGTTCTGTGTTCTATCTGTCTGTCTGTCTGGTTATATGATTCCCAGGGTTACTACTATGGGTAGAGGTTCCGATCTATGTGAGCTCACTGTATGTGGTTTTTGTAACGCTTACTTAGATAATTCCCGGCTAAATCTTATTGCTAAATATTCTCTGACACAAAACACTGGACAAGTTCTCAAAAATCAAAACACGGTTGAACAGGAAAAGATTATATTCCAAAATAGCAAGGAATAATAAGCAGCCGGAAGTGAAGGCGAAGGCAAAAATAAATACAACGCTAGTCTATTTATAGCATTAACATGAGAAAGCTTCTGGATAGAAATTCACGTGATCGGCTGGATTAGATTTAACCAATCAGCACGCAACTATCAGTACGAGAATTCTCCATCCTGTTCTCCAAGATTCGATCAGGCGCTGATTGGATAGGAAATCAGCCAGTCAGCGCGCAGCAACGTAGTCATGCTTTAATTCCATCTATGTCCCACTAACAGTGGTCAATAGAGTTGTGAAGCTTTCATTATTGTTCTTTGTCTGAACGACATCTACATTAACAACAACAGCATCAGCAGGAGCAGTTGAGAA